GGGGGGCAGTGCCCCAACCCCCTGATTGGCCCTGCTCTGTGTATGCCCGGGGGTGGCGCCGCAACCTCCCCATCGACCCTGCCTTGAGTGTGACAGGGGGGTGCTCCAACCCCCCAATTAGCCCTACCCTGAGCGTGACTGAGGGTGGCATCACACCTCCAGATCACCCTGCTCTGTGCATGACAGGGGGCAGCGTCCCAACTCCCCAATCAGCCCTGCTCTGAGCCCGACCAGGGGCTGCACCTAGGGATTGGGCCTGCCCTCTGCCACCCGGGAGCAGGCCTAAGCTAGCAGGGCGTTATCTCCCGAGGGGTCCCAGACTGCGAGAGGGCACAGGCCGGGCTGAGGGAAACTCCCCTTTATGCACTGGGGGAAGCAAGTAAGATTTATGCTCCCCGCAGTGCATAAATTTTTGTGCACCGGGCCTCTAGTTACAAATAATATTGTATTACATTTCAGGTGTACAATATAAGGACTTGATATTTGTACATATTGTGAAATGATTACCACAATAAGTCTAGCTAACATTCATCACTATACATAATTACTAAAATAATTTTTTTACATATTTTTTATTGATTTCACAGAAGAGGGGAGAAGGAGTGAAAGATAGAAACATCAATGATGAGAAAGAATCACCGATTGGCTACCTCCTGCATGCCCCCTCTGGGGAGAGAGCCTGCCACCCAGGCATGTGCCCTTAACCGGAATTGAACCTGGGACCCTTCAGTCCTCAGGCTGACGCTCTATCCACCAAGCCAAACCAGCTAAGGCTCAAACGAATTTTTTTCTTGTGATGAGAACTTTTAACATTGACTCTCTTCACAACTTTCAAATATTCAATACAGCCCGTCTGGTATGGCTCAGTGGTTGATCGTCAAACAATGAACCAGGAGGTCATGGGTTTGATTCCTGGTCAGGACACATGCCCAGGTTGCACGCTCCATCCCCAGTAGGGGGCATGCAGGAGGCAGCTGATCAATGATTCTGTCTCATCATTGATGTTTCTATCTTTCACTCCTTCTCCCCTCTTCTGTGAAATCAATAAAAAAATATATTTTTTAAATATGCAATACAAGATTATTAACTGTAGTCACCATGCTGTACATTACATCCCAGGACATATTTATTTTATAACTGGAAGTTTGTACCTTTTGACCCCCTTCACCCATTTTATATATATCACACACACACACACACACTACCCTCATCTAGCAATCACCAATCTTCTCTATATCTATGAGCTTGGGTTTTTTTGTTTATTTTTTTAGATTCCACATATATTAGTAAGTGAGACCCTGGCTTATTTCACTTAGCATAATGCCTTCAGGGTCCATCCATGTTGTTAAAAATGTCAAGATTTTCTTCTTTTTTATGGCTGAATAAGATATATGTATACTACATCTTCTTTACTCATTCATCCATTGATAGACACTTAGGTTGTTTACAGGACTGAGACTTTTAATAAATGAAATTTTAGATAAAATACTTTCTCCGGTAAACCTTCAAAGCTACTTTTATTTTTATTTTAGTCCATCCATGTTGTTAAAAATGTCAAGATTTTCTTCTTTTTTATGGCTGAATAAGATATATGTATACTACATCTTCTTTACTCATTCATCCATTGATAGACACTTAGGTTGTTTACAGGACTGAGACTTTTAATAAATGAAATTTTAGATAAAATACTTTCTCCGGTAAACCTTCAAAGCTACTTTTATTTTTATTTTATTTTTAAATTTTTATTTATTTATTTATTTTTTTAGAGAGAGAGAGAGAGAAAGAGGAAGGGAGAGAAAAAACATCGCTTTGTTGTTCCACTTATTTATGCATTCACTGGTTGATTCCTGTATGTGCCCTGACCAGAGATTGACCCCGCAACCTTCGCATATTGGGACAATGCTCTAACTGAACTACCCGGGCAGGGCTTCCTTCAAAGCTTTTACATATTGGTCCTCAAATAATTACTTGCTTTATTTTGGTACTAATCATTAATATGATGAAACCAGAGTAAATGTTTTACAACAGACTAACCACATAAACTAAGAGTTTAAATAATGTTTGTGAAAGCTAACTACATTATTTCCTATCTTGACACATAATGATAGTTAATACTTTGAAGATACAAGCTTTTCTAGGAGTTTGCATCATCTCATGCAACTGTTTAATTTTATATATGTGTGTGTATTTATTTTTTAATATACTTGTATTTTTATTTTATTCATTTATTCAAAGAATAAGAACTGAACCCAAAGCATCAAAGAAAGGAAGCTTTTTAGAAATAAAATTAACTTCTCACTTTAAACTCTAAGATTGCTATATTTGTAGTCATTCAGGTTTTCTCTAAAAGTAACTCTCTACTTCAGGATTCAAAATCATGCAGAATAGAACCTGATAAGTCTGAACTAGAAAACTCAGGATTTGATGGAATGAGCGAAGAAGAGCTTCTAGCAGCTGTTTTAGAGATAAGTAAGAGAGAAGCTTCACCGTCCCTGAGTCATGAAGATGATGATAAACCAACCAGCAGCCCAGATACTGGATTTGCAGAGGATGATATTCAAGAAATACCTGAAAATCCGGACACTGTGGAAATTGAGAAACCTAAAACAGTCACAGAACCAGGTAGGTTTAATGAAGATAGCTGTTAAACAAGGCACAACTGTGTTCAAAATCATTATAGTGACAAATGGCTTCTAAATAATGGGAAGTGTGAGATGGATCTGTATAATGTATAAGAGTTATGTGGCCCGCATAACTGGTCTACAAGAACAGAAAGAAATTGATGGTTAATTTTTTATCTCCCTGGGCAATGTTCTAAACATATATGTTGTCATATACTTGTGCAATACATGAGATGTTTATTACATATTTTATGGAACTCTTTTTAATGTGATTTTATTGATTTTTGAAGAGAGAAGAGGAGAGAGAGAGAAACATCCATCAGCTGTGCCTCCTGCACGCTCCCTACCAGGGATTAAGCTTACAACCTAAGCATGTGCCATGACTGGGAATCATACTGTCGACTTCTCAGTGCATGGGATAATGCTCAACCAACTGAGCCACACTGCCAGTACTATGGAACTCTTGATTCAGAATATGTATAAGGCTTATTTGATTATTAATTCTAAAACACTCATTTAACATACATTATAATAAATGGGGAAAGCTCATTATTAGCTATTTTTGGTTGTCACAACTAGAGAGAGGGGTGTTACTGGCATCTAGTAAGTGGATACCAGGGATGTATGCACAGGACAGCCACCCCCCAACAACAACAAAATTGTCCCACCCAAAATATCAATAGTTTTGAGATAGAGAAACCCTAGTGTACATGTAGTAAGATGAAATTGTATATCCCAAGCAAGCTATGTGTGAGGTTGAGGTAAATTACTCTCTGAACAGTAGATGTCACTCTGGTCCAGAGATTTCAGTTTATTAGAGATGATTTCCCAGTTATGTTTTGTTCTGCTTCCTCAGATCCAGCCAGTTTTACTGAGATAACTAAAGACTGTGATGAGAATAAAGAAAACAAAACCCCAGAAGGACCTCAAGGAGAGGTTGATTGGCTTCAGCAGTATGATGTGGACCGCGAAAGGGAAGAGCAAGAGCTTCAGCAGGCCTTGGCTCAGAGCCTCCAGGAGCAAGTAAGATTTATATTGCTACTTTCTCCATCCTTTATCTTTCCCAAGAAATGGAATAGTAGTAGTAGTAGTAGTAGTAGTAGTAGTAGTAATCTACATATATAAAAGGCTAAGCGACTGTCTGACCAGTAGCTATGATGTGCAATGACCACCAGGGACAAGATGCTCAACATAGGAGCTGCCGAGCTGCGGTTCTCAGGTGACACACCCTGATTCCAGGGTGTGTCACCCAAGAACCGCCCTTTCGCAATCCGGGACCCCTCAGGGGATGTCAGAGAGCCGGTTTCAGCCCAATCCCTGCAGGCCAGGCCAAGGGACCCCACCTGTGGGAGCTACCCCACTCACTCCACAGATGCCCTTCTTGCCAGGGCACCGCCTCAGGTGTGGCCGCCAGGGAGGGAAGGGAGGGACCGCAGGAGATTGGCTTCAGGGCAAGTCTCACCCAGTCCTGCCCCTCAGGCCACCTTCTAATTAATTTCCTTTCAATGTGCACGAATCTGTGCACTGGGGCACTAGTAATCTAATCTAATAATAGACAAACATGGTAATTGACCGTACTTTCACTACCCTCCCCATTGGCTAATCAAGGCGATATGCACATTAACTGCCAACAAAGATGGTGGTTAATTTGCATATGTAGGCGCAATGCTGGGAGGCAAAGGGGAAGGATGGAAAAAGCCGCCTGCCGCTGACGGTGATCTGAAATTCAGGCGGCAGGCAAGAGCTGGGTGGCAGGGCAAAAGTGGAGAACCCAGGCCGCCTTTGCCTGGCGCGAACTATGCAGCTGGGAGAGGGGCGTCGGGCCGCTGGGAGCAGGGCGGGAACTTCCCAGGGTGGGCGTTCAGGCAGCCGGGAGTGGAGCTGGAACTTCTGCCACGTTGCCATAGCAACACAGAGATGGTGGTTAAGTAGGGGCCGCTTCATTCACTTATTCGCTCATTCATTCACTCATTCACTCACTCATTATTCACTCACTCACTCAGCAAACCCTCTCAGGTCCCTGGCACCAGGCCAGGCACTGAAGTTGAAGCAGGCTACGACAGAGCTATGTCCTCAAGATGTTAGTAATTCAGTAGGGCAAAGCAGGCACATGAACAAGGCAGTTGTACGCACAGAGGCACTCCAGTGGGTTCAGTGAGGGCTGTAACTAACGCCGACTTTGTTCTCTTGATAAAATTGGGCCTCGGAAGCCAGGCCACCCCAAGCCTGTAGGCCTGTGCCTAGGCCAGGAACGGCTGGGGTCCCAGAACATGACAGAGGGTGCAAGTCGGGCTGAGGGGTCTGACCCCCTCCCCTCCACCCCCAAGTGCACAAAATTTTGTGCACCGGGCTACTAGTAATAATAATAACCAACATGTTTTAAGCATTTATGATGTGTCAGGCATTGTTCCAGGTGATTTGAATACAATGTCATTGATCCACCAAAACAAAATAAAAACTTTGGTGCTTTGCATTGGTTTTGAAACAAAAACTTTGGTAATTTTTCTGTTTTTGAAAATCCAAATGCAACAAAATATATTGTTGGTTACCTTCCATTACAATAATTAATTGCATGCTAAAGCAAGATGGGTTACTAGAGATTATCCTAATGCAACTTTATTTTGCAAGATGTGGAAACAGCCAGTATAACACTATAATTTTATCATTAATATTTTAAGACAAAGTATTTGTTTTGGCCATTTTCTCACAATATGAGTCCTTTCCTATAAATAGTTGGACATAAAATTCTTAGGAATATTATCTGAAATTTAGATTTTAGTCATAGACTAACATTTATCTGCTCTTTATATATAGTAGAGGCCCGATACACAAAATTTGTGCAAGAGTAGGCCTTCCCCTGGCTGCCAGCACCAGCTTCCCTCTGGCACCCGGGACCTGGGCTTTCCTCACAGCCCCGGCTTTGTCTGGAAGGTCATCTGGTCTAATTAGCATATTATGCTTTTATTATTATAGATTCTGTTCTTTAATTTTTAGTTCTTTATATTTGCCAAAGCTGTCTGATTTGCACCGTGGCAGTAATCAAGGTATCTGACTAAAAAGTGTTGTTTTCATGCTTTTGTAACCCTATGCAATCCAAGTCATCTGATTAATAAAAATTTACCAAACTCCCTAGAATGAGCGAACATTTTTAGTGTTTACAAACAGTCAGATTAAGAAATCTAATTTCGCCTGGCTAGTGTGACTCAGTGGTTGATTGTCAGTCCATAAATCAAGAGGTCACCGGTTCAATTCTGGTCAAGGCACGTGCCTGGGTTGTGGACTCAATCTCCGATATAGGGCATGCAGGAGGCAATCAATACATGTTTTTTTCTTATTGATGTTTCTATCTTTCTATCCCTCTCTTTTCCTCTCTCTCTAAAATCAAAAACATATTTTAAGAAATCTACACTAATAAAAGAGAAAAATGGTAATTGGCGTACGACGCTACCCTTTTCATTGGCTAATCAGGGCTATATGCAAATGAACTGCCAACTAAGATTGGCAGTTAACTGCCAACAAGATGGCAGTTAATTTGCATATGTAGGCACAATACAGGGAGGCGAAGGGAAAGCAGGAAGAAGCCCCCTGCCATTGACAGTGATCAGAAACCCAGGGGGGATCTAAGAACTGGGGGGCAGGGCACAAGCGGCCCTGGGGCCGCCTTTGCCCTGCC